CTCCTTTCTGGATCTGTGCTACATTTCTGTGACAGTCCCAAGGTCCATTTGCAACTCTTTCATGCATAATGGCTATATTTCCCTCTGGGAATGCATATTGCAGTGTTTTGCATTCACTCTCTGTGGCTGTGCTGAGATGGCATTACTCACAGTGATGTCTTAYGACCGCTATGTGGCCATTTGCCTTCCACTGCGCTATGAAGTCATCATGGATATCAGTACCTGTGTTCATGGACTGTTAGCTGTCTGGGCCAGTGGAATCCTTGGTGGAGTCATGCACACAGCCGCTACTTTCTCCATCCACTTCTGTGGTGCCAACATCATTCATCAATTCTTCTGTGATGTCCCCCAGCTTCTGAAACTCTCTTGTTCCAATGAATATGTGAGTGAGCTTGGGGTTAGTGGCTTCTTGGCCTTGTTGACATTTGCTTGCTTCATCTCTATTGGAGTTACCTACATGCATATATTCTCTACTGTGCTGAGGATACCATCTGCTGAGGGCAGAGCCAGAGCCTTTTCTACCTGCCTGCCCCACCTATCTGTTGTCATATTATTCGTCTCTACTAGTGCCTTTGATTTTCTAAAGCCACATTCAGAGTCTCCAACTGTGTCAGACTTTTTACTCACTGTTTTTTATACTGTTCTGCCCCCAACACTCAATCCAATAATCTATAGCCTGAGAAATAAGGCCATAAAGGAAGCCCTAAAAAAGATTTTTGAAAGAAGAAAAGACTTCTTTTTCTGGATCACATCTATTAATTTGTTTTGAGGGAAAAGTAAAAATTTATTACAGAAAAAAATAACATAACCAATCAAGAAATTAAAGTTAAAACAGAATTTATTATAGGGAGATTCATGAGAAAGTCATTATACAAATGGACTCTATGCAACAAAAACAGTGAGTAGTTAATTTGAAATGTCTTCCTCATTTTTTCCTGAATTACGCTAGAGTGGGAGCCACCTGATTCTCAATGCCCTCTGGTCATGTAGGGGTTCACTACAGTTCTAACAATGTCTAATTTCAGTCAGCAATACACAGTGCTCACCCTGGAACAGTCACATCATTTTCTCTGCCCCTTCAGATGCCATGGACTACTTTGCCACTTATGTGGATGAGATGTTTAAATGAAAGAATAATTTGATCAAGCTCAGAAAATGAATGGAAGAAGAAATCTGAAAAAGAATTAATAGAATACCATGTTAGAAAAAAGAGACATAATATATACAAATATAATTTTAGTGATTGAAATTTGGAACTAAAATATGTGTCAAACAGCAAAAAAAATTTTTWAAAAATAAGACAAACTTRGTGAATTGAAAGGTCCAAAGATTTCACACAGAATGAAATAAAAGAAATGTATGTCTTGGGCTGGAGATGTGGCTCAAGTGGTAGTGCGCTCGCCTGGCATGTGTGCGGCCCGGGTTCGATCCTCAGCACCACATAAAAATAAAATAAGGATGTTGTGTCCACCAAAAACTAAAAAAAGAAATATTAAAAAATTATCTCTCTCTCTTTAAAAAAAAAAAGAAAGAAATGTACGTCTTTAAAAAAAATCTGAAAAAKATTAGCAATTACAAGATTAACAAGAAGAATCAAAAAGTCATTCAATCAAAATCTCCAAAAAGATCTATTCCTCTATTTGCCCATGCTTTGAGGAACTATGTTACAGATGAAATTTAGAGAAATAACTTCTAAGAGTTTTTTCAGATTAAAAAACAAAGGACACAGATCATCAGCTTTGAAAAGCACAACAAAATTCATCAGTACAACTAGGATCAATACACATGTAATTATATCATACTAAAACTAAAGCATTATTAAAAATAGAAATTTCTGAAAATCAAAATAGAACAAGATATTCTTAAAGTAATACAACTTTAGAAGTTTTATTATTTTGCCATACATATTTAGATCTATAATCCTAATGGATTTCTAATGAAAATAACAACTGTGGGGACTGTGTTGTAGCTCACTGGTAGAGCGCTTTTCTAGCATGTGTGAGGCGCTGGGATACCTGGTACAACATAAAAAATAAAATAGAAGTACTATGTCCATCTACAACTAAAAAAGATTAATAAAGAAAATAACAACTGTATCTAGTGTGAGGTAAATGTCACTGTTCGTTTTACTCAGTGATACCAAATTTTATTAACATCAATATAGAAATATCTTTTCCTCCAATGAACTGTCATGAATTAGGTGACCCTATAATGTGAGTCTCTAATCTGTTCTGTGTTCATATTTACAATAGTGAGCTCTATCATTTACTGTAGCTATACAGCAGAATTTTTTAAATATCTAGTAGTATAAGTTTTCTATCTCTGTTTTTTCCAGATTTTCTAAGCTATTGTAAGTCTTCTAAATATGCTTCTGAGTTTTAAAATTAATTTTGTAATTTCCAAAAAATATCTATAAAAATTTTGACTGGCATTCCAAATTGAATCTATGATCTAAAGAGTGGAGATTTGTCTTCTTTAAAATATTTTATCTCCTCATCCATAARCAAGATTCTTTTCTATGTTTATTTGCATTTTTAAAAATTCTCTCAGAAATTATATATATTTTAGTGTAATTGTTTATGCCTTTTATTAGATTTACTTATATGTATTTGATGTTATAATGTTTAAATTTGTCTAATTTTGCAGCCAATATTTAAAGAGAGCATTGATTTTTGTGTATTGACCTTATATTTAGTGATCTTATGAAATTTATTTATAAATTTTATATTTTTTTAGATTTTTAAAWTTTCTATTATATATTACATAATCTGTGAATAAAGAATTTCATTTTATCTTTTCCAATTTCTAAAACTTTATTTATCTTTCTTATTTTTGTGCTGGCCAGGAACTGTAAGCCAATATGAAAAGAAGTGATGATAGTAGTATTTTCACTTCTTCCCAAGCTCAAGGGGAACTTATTTCAAACATGCTTTAGAGATGCTACCAAAATGGTCCTCAATCTTAGAGTATCTGGAATGGGCTCATGAATGTGCCCAAAGGAAAAAGAGTTGCTTTAAATGTCTGATATGAGCAGAGGAAAAGATACAAAAGCATGTCACTCTGCTACTTAAATATGACCATTCTCACCCTTCACATCTTCTTTCTCCCAGTTTCAACCACAAAGGAACCAGAGGAACCTAGAAACAGTGGGAAATAACATAGAAGTTGGAAGCTGGTAAATACAGAAAATGTGGCAATAGGTCCTGCACACTCTAAAGACCACCATCCCAGAGTAGGTTTTAGTTAGGTAAAGGAAGATGATTAATTTTCATGAAGTTAAGGGCTTTTGATTATGAAATTGACTTAGTTATAATAACTGATAAAGTAATATTTTTCTTGATACCAAAAATAATTGGAGAAGTTTTATAAAGATTAATTTAGGGTCCCAATAGCATAGGAAATATTAATTCTACAGAATATTTTCAAATGTCCCAGTCCAGGAGGCATGGGGGTAGGAATGATAGTAGAATGAATTGGACACTATTACCTTATGTGCATATATGATTACATGACCTATATAACTCTACATCATGTACAAACAGAAGAACAAGAAGTTACACTCCATTTATGTATGATGTGTCAAAATGCATTCTACTGTCAATGTATATGAATTAGAACAAAATTTTTTAAATGACTGAATAAAATAAATAAGTGTCCCAGTCTATTGTCAAAACAGCTAAGATTACTGGACATTAACAGCTATGCATAGAACCCTTATAAATACAGACTAGTGTGAAACCTAAAGAGGAAAATCTCAAAGAACATCCCACTGAAACCAAAATTCTRCCTAGTTTTCCAAAGTCTCTGCAAAAGAGCTATCCTCTCTAAGAAGTAACCAGAATGAGAACTTGTGAATTACTAGACCCTGGCTGACTACCTAGCAAACTCATGAACTCTCCAAACAGTGAAGGCAGTCTCCAAGCCTCCCACGTATTCAACAAGAGGTGAACGCTTTTCTTGTTCAGGACACTTAAACACAACCTCTGACCAATCACTGGCTGAATACTAAACAGAACTGACCCCAAGTAAGATAAGATTTCAAGGTAAAAAGAAAAGCAGAACTTATCAGGAACATCAGAGTAGATAGAGTTTACTGAATTAGTCTAGGAAAGTTATTAAAGAATCAAACAAAAAACAATAGC